TCTGCACGTATAGCCAGAACAACGTATGTTACGGTGTAAATCATCTCGTTGCTTCCGATGGAACAGAAATATGCTTCATTGCTGTGGTGTGCCCCAAAGCTATTTAAACAGGTAGGTGAGTGCTGCACCTAGCTCAGCCCCATAACACTCTGTGGTCTAACATGTTCTCAGAGTGGATACAGAGACAGAAATTTTAACCAACTACCTTTAGTGTCCCTGAAGTCTTCCTGGTATTTAGCAGCTAGGCCTCTCGATAGCTATATCACACCTTCCTTGGAACTGTGCAGAGCTTGAAGGAAACTCTGCTTGGGTCTGGGCACTGGATGCAATAGCTGGTGTCTCTGCTACAGGGAGCAAATATTTTCACCTTCTCTATGTGCAGTAAAACAAGGAGATAGATTCACAGCAGAGCCATGGGGTGGGAGAAGAATAAGCTCAGAGAGGAAAAAAGAGCTTTGTTAAAGTGCATCAGTGCCAGGAAGGGAACTGCCGTGCGTGGCAGGTCCTTTCCCCCCAGGGGCTCAGGGACGGTGGCTCTCCTCATCTGTGAACTGGCCGACTGCTTACTGTGTCTCGTCCTTTACAGCTCAGCAAAGGCGGGCTACCCAAAGAAGATAACGGAGGGAAGCAAGAGAAGGGACTGATGAGATTGCCAGAGGAAGAAGAAGAATCTCTGCTACCTTTCCTGAAAAGGAAGAAGTCTTCCCTGTCCCTTTTTTCATGCAACCTCCAGAAAGATGGCATGCCTGTGTTCTTGCCATGTGTGTTTGTGTGCCATCGAAACAGCTGGTGCAAATAGAGCAGCATTGTGAATTGTCTGACACTGAATATCTGTTTTACATTGATGCTTCTTCCACGCGCCTTTTAATTTTAAATTTTGGAGCTTGCATTCAATAATTGTGGGCAGGTCTCTATCATTTGCTGCATGGTTCATCTCCAGTTGCATACTCAGTCCTACATTAAATGGAAAAGGCACAGTCACAAGATTTTTAGGAAATATCCTGACGTTGAGCGTGGCCTCCTGCCTACATCTGGCAGCGTTCAGGTATTCCACAAAGGTCAGCTCTTCCAAGCTACTGCAGTGTCTTGGTCAGTTTACTGGAACTTATTTCCATACAAAATGAATTTTGTTTGGTCCTTCCACCAAGAAGGAGCTCCTTGGGTGTAATCAAAGTTGCCGCTTAATTGACAAAGTAAGTGACTTTGCCAAAATTAAGAATCTCAGATAACACCTGACGAACGAGTCCACAAATATATTACATGTAGTTGAAGCATCACCACAATTATTCTGGTGGAACTTGCTTTATCTAGGACCCCAGACTTTACCACGAGGTTCTGGTTTGGGTTTTGATTCTTTGTTAACACCAGAGATGATTCCTAAGCCACAGCATTCAGATCTGGAAGTACTTGTGGTTTTGGTTGAGCCAGTTTACCAACTTGTAAAGACTTTTCAGCTTCCATGAGTGCTTATCTACTTGATGACTAGATTTGAATTTGCGAGTCGGGATGTTGTGATTCAGAGAAGTCACTATGCCAGGAGTGCTGGTGAGACTTTCTTGGTTCAGTGGGGTGAGCAGAAGAGATGAAGCAAGAACCAGAGCTCTGGTATTGGTCCAACAACGTTCAGAAGATAATAGGTTCTTTCAATGGGTTGTGTGGATTTTTTGAGTGTTAGCTAGAAGTAAGATGCACTAGTTATTTGTGCCCTTTTGTGAAAAGTGTGCAAAGCTGCAAGTTTCAGGGTTCACACCTGTTCTTTGGAGAGAGATCCTTGGCTCACCCATGGTTTGAGAGCCTTCTTGTGAAGGTTTCCAAACTCCCTTGGGCACAGTTTGTAATTCTCCAAAGCTCAATTCCAATTAAAAAATGTAAAGCCTACAATCTAAAGGTTTACACTGGATTTCTGGGCAAAAATTTCAAAAGATTTGCAGTTCTTTGAATGATCTCTGTGTGGGAGCCAAGCATTGAGAGAGGCATAGAACAGTTTACACTATGTTGCCTTCAAGCTTTCTGACCCAGTTAGTTCCTGCTCCTTCTGATGTGTTTGTCCAGGTGTGTTCTCAATTCCTTGCTTGGCTTTGGTGCAGTGGACAAATTCTGCTGTCAAGGCAGCAGAAAGTGGGTGCAGCAGTATATCTCGGCATTACGGAGAGATTCTTGCGAGGGACTACATTATCTTATGGATGCTGGTCAGGTTGGAGAAACATTATGGCCTCACGGATCTTTATGAACCCTGCACGGACTGTGAAATATCCATAATGCAAAAATATACTTTACTATCAGAACTCAAGGATATCAAATCTCATTGTCTTTGAAGATGCGACGCAGTAGTTATGGAGTGTCTGTATGTGTGTGTAGGAGGCAAGCTGGAAATGTCAGTGATTAGGAGCATGAAGTTTGTCATTGGAAAGGAAAGAAAGTGACAATGGAGGAGGCCCTAGGCCTGTATGAAGCTGGTGATGAGTGTCTAGAGGAGAATGGAGATTGATTCAGTTGCTTTGATGAATTATTCTGCACTACAGATTCTCTAACAGATGTGATTCTTTAAAGAAACCGATGACTTCCTCCTCTTCGCAGAGTCTCCTGTTGTAGTGCTCTGCAGACATCACTGCTTCCCCAGTACTCTTCTCATGCAGAACATCTATACTATTGCCTTTTTGTTTTCTTCAAACATATTCAAACATCAGAGTGATTTCCAAGGTGCCATTGCTCCACGTCCTCGTTCTGAACCACAGAAGATGTCTTCCATAAGTGTGACCTTTACTAAGTCTACTCTTCCTTTTCGTTTTTGATTCAAGTTATCTGTGGAGAGCAGCTATCTATATGGTTTTGCATTGTCCGTGTGTACTATGGCCTTTGCTCCGGCTGAACAGTGTGTTTTCAGGAGGGGTAGATCCCTTATTCCCCGTGGGTCTCTTGGCTCAGCACTTCTACCACCGAGGCCTTCTCTGAGTCCATTTAGAGAAAGAAACCGCAGAACTAGAAACCGTGCACAGGCTGTGCTCTGCTTTCTCTGTTTCAGAGACTTTCTTTGGGTCTATGACACCTATGTAGCTGTCAGTCACTGCCTTCGATGCAGAGCCTTCAAATCTATGTTCCTGTGACCCAAGAGCCAGGTTTGCTGAAGCCAAGCAAGGAATAGAGAACGCACCTGGGCAAACATGGTTGGAGAGCGCGGTGGGACAGGGTCAGAGAGATCTCCCCAGTGCTGACCCCGGTGGGTGCAGCTCCCATCAGAAGTCTGCCAAGCAGCTGGACCTCTCTGGCCGTGGTTTATTGACGTATGACAGATCTGGCTTGTGCTTTCTGTAGGAAAATCTCAGGTTTTAGACAAAAATGTGTAAGTTTGCCTGCCATTCTTGGTTAATTTGACCTTCCTTTACAAAGAGACAAGAATGGGGAGAATGTGTCCGTCAAAATAAAAAGTGTCCAGTCTTCCTTGCCTAGGAGCCTAACGCTGATTTAGACCAACTCAAAGCTGATTTCTGAAATCAGTTGGGGTATCTGGCCTCGGGCTGGTTATCTCAATCAGTTGAGCAGTGAAATATTCACTTGAGACAAAGGCAACACTAGCACTAACAGCTCCTGTACATAATGGATAGCCCCCACGATGCATGCTTGTTCTGAAGTGGCCCAGTGACAGAGGTAAAATAGAGATCAGTCTTCCCAACCCCATCTGGAAAAAGACTATAGAGAGCCTTGGGAACAGGGATCCCAAGTTAGCTTGGAAATTTGTGGGCATCCTGGAACCTGGTTTTGCCAGACAAAGAGATCCCACCTGCCTGCTTGAGCAACACCATGTTGGGACCCAGATAGGAAAGCTTAGGCTGCATCAGCACTATTATTAAAGAGCACTGGGAAAGATTTCCAGGCACAGAACTGTAGCTGTCTGTGTTGTTAGGACAATCCCTAGTACATTTTGGCCTGGGTAACTCATGCTGCCTCTCACAAGTCTCGGGTGTGGTTTGTGAGTTAATGCCATCTGTGTACCGCTGACTACCAGCAGTTTGCATGGTGACCACGCTTTTCTGGAGGCCAGGTTGGTTAAACAGCACAATTGTCTACCTTTCCGTACTGGTTGTCATCAGCGCTAGAAAACGTCCCACGTGTTTAATTTGTGAGTTTTAACGCGACCCTCAGGTTCAAAAACAGAACCAAAAGGCTGTATCCCTGTACCCTAGACCTTTCAGACCCAGACATGAACAATGATGAACTGGAACCAGTTCCTGAGGCCCCCTCCTTGTGGATGGTACCATTGCTAATGGGTGTTACAGGAAACTGGTGGAGACCTCTTGTCAACCAGTATATGTTCCCATTTCCCTCGTTATATGCAGGGAAGGAGAAGGCAAAGTCATTTGGTCATTAGTGGTTGCTGGCTGCTGGTAGTGCTGCTACAGTGCTTCCTGATGGACGTGCAAGGATTGGCTCCCATTCTCAAGTCAGACAACCGAAGGAAATCCCCATAATCTGACCCAGAGCTACTGAGCCTCTGTCCCGAATGACGGCAATGCCTGCCGTGTGCTGGAGTGAGCCCTTGCTGCTGGCGGCACAGCGGCAATCCATCTCCAGCTGAAACAAAGGGACACAAGTGACAAGTGATCAGGACCTGGCCTGGGTCACTGATCAGCAAAGTTCTCGCTCGTTTTTGTTGGTTTGTTTGGTGTTTTGTTTGGTTTGTTTTTGTTTTTTTTTTTTTACCATGAAAAGTCCATTTATTGAAATGTCTGCATGGCAGCCTTGCAGGAGGGGATGTTCTGAACTAGTGGATGGCAGCCAAAGCGGCTGCTGTTGGTTATGGGGCACTGGGCACTGTACACCCATCCCTTCTGCTGCCTGCGTATCACCTCGGCAGTGACGAAGAGGTGGGGAGCGGCTGGCTCCTCCCCTCATCCCACCTCTTCATTTAGGCTGTGCTAGAAAGAAATTACCCCCCCTAAAAACAGCCTCAGTCATTTCAGAGGAAGAGGGCCATTGGAGATTGGGCAGCAAGAGCCCCCAAGATGAGGATAGCTGTCCTCCTGAGCCTTCTGTTCCACATTGCAGCTGCTTTTCACCAACTGTGAGTGATGCTGAACTTCTGTTTTGGTCTCTTTGTTGAAGGCATCAGTTTAGGTAGATGGACCACATTCCATGCCATCAGCTCCCGTGCTTCCTGCTCTATCAGATCACCCCAAAGGGTGGCTGAGTCATCTACCTTGCCTCCCATGCATTAGACTGACTCCTGGGAGTTAAAATACCAGCCACCTTTTTGGGGGGCTTCCAAGTCAGACCTTGGGCCCAGGGATATTTGCTTCTCCAGTTGCCATGAATCGCTGGTGTCTGGACCCTTCTTCTGAAGACTGCAAGGGATGGTTTGGGGGAGTTTGCGAGATGACTTGAGTAAGGGGTTTGAAAAAAATTATAGGGCTGTACTTAAGCTAATCAAGTAGAAACTATTTCTCCGGTTATCACTGTTGCTTTTGAATATGGACTGCAGCCATGGCACATTGCTGAAGAATTCTGCAGCAGTGGGCTGCTGCAGGGAAACTCTTTTGCATCTCTGAGCCCTCAACCTGATGCCACCACTGATGTCTTCTTTCCTCTGCTCCAGCCATTACCTGGTGGTGATCCCTGCAGATCTCCGGTACCCATCCACCCAAGTTGCCTGCCTCCATATCACCTGCTATGAAGCAAAGCTTCATGTGAATCTTGTCCTGGAGCGCTCTGCAGGACGTGAGCTCTTAGTTCAAGAAACCATCCAGAAGGAGAAGACTTTCATGTGCACTAAGTTCTGGGTGAGCTGCCCTAGGCAAATGTCATCACTGATTTTTCCCTTCAGGAACTGTAAATCCCTTGTGTTACTCCCTAACTAGCGGTGACACGGACAAGGTCTGCTTTGCCTTGGAGTGAGCCTGCTAGGAAGGGGAATGGATGGTGCCTAGGGATGTGTAGCCCAGCACGGTATCTGTTTGTCAGCACTGAATTCCCCTTCCGAATCTTAATTTTTAAATTAAAGTTACATTTGTTAAAATCTACCATAAGAAGAACCTACCTGTTTCCTTCTCTTCCAACTCAGACCAGATGAAGTAGCTTTGGCTCTTCTCTGAAGGACTTGCACAGCTCCACAGCTAAAGCTTGGGGAAACACTGGTTTGCATGACATACTGCAGCTTCTGTAGGACCTGAAGTCAGGAAGCAACTCAGCTTTTAGGAGCTACCCAAGAGCAGTTGGATGCAAATGGATAATCTTTTTATTTTTAAACAGCATCTTAGCACTTATTCATTGTTGGTGAGAGTTTAGCAAAGATCTAGGATAAGGCAGACGTGCCTAAACAGTATCCCTTCGGTTATACAGTGTATCCTGTGCTGAGGCTGCTGGAGTCTTTGGCTGCTGGAGTCAGGAAGACCCCCTGGTCGACTTTTCTAATATCTGGCTTTCTTACATGCTGGGTAGTTCTGAAAGCCTGGCATTTGAGGCTGTGCTACAGCTCGATCTCTCTCCTTTGATTCTTGGTTACCACCTCCCACCTTTCTGGCACCTGCCCATCTTCCTGAGCGAGCCTGAAGGCTTAGAGGTGGCAGGCACCTGCTTGTCACCAGAGGCAAAATTCCTTAACCAATGGGGAAAAGGACAGATTCCATCACGTGCAGGGCCTCCTGTTGTCATGTAGGACTGAGTGAGACCTGGATGTGACCTAGGTCCAGATATTGGAGGGGATGTCCTGGGACAGGTGGAGGGGGACTGGTTGGTTCTTCCTCTTTACTCTCAATTCCTGCTCAGGGCCTCCAGAAGATTACCCGGGGGCTCCATGCTCTCCTCTCTCTGTATAGGTTGCACCTCCAGCTGATGGCGCAGAGGAGATTGCCACTGTCAAACTGATCATCACAGGTGAAGGAGTCAGTACCGAGGAGAAGAAAAAGGTCCTGATCCGCAAGGCCAGGAGTGGCACCTTCATCCAAACAGACAAGCCCGTCTATCAACCGGGGCAGACAGGTGAGAGCTGCAAATGGGAGCAACCGTGGACCCTAGGCTTTCTGCTGGTAACACCATATGGAAAGCCTGCGATTGCCTGAAATTCATGGAGAGCTCTGGCAGAAGGCTTTGAGACAATATCTCTTGTTGAGTGATGTTTTCAGTGGTTGCAGTGTCCAGCTTGTGACTGTGAAGTTGCAGAAGGCAGTAGGTCATTGTCCATGGTATCTTACATGTGGGAATGTCCATGTCAGATGTGACCACAAATGTGTATAGAATGGAGACAGGAGCTAGGGAAACAGATAGAGCAGGGGTCTGTAGGGAAGGACTGAGATCTGATAAATATTTTCCCTGATTTCCTTGCTTTTAGTGAAATTTCGCATCGTGACTCTGGATGAGGAATTCATTGCACTCAACGATTCGGTAAGCCAGCCCTGGGGGGCGGTGGAAGAGGCTGCTTTGTTCCATGCGTGGATCCTACTTCCTTTCTACCCTGCTCATCTGCCAAAGCTCCAGCTTTCCCACATTTGTCCCTGGGCCCGGCTTGATGAGTGTCCAGAGGAGAACTGTAACTCAAGTAAAAGCTGGTAACTCAGGAAGATGGCAGAGGTGTACATGTCTGTTGCTCATCTTGGTAAAATGGTCATGCAAGGACAGGCATGGGACATACTGATTCCTGATGTGACGGTGTCGTGTGGGGAGTGAATAGTTTGCAAGTCAGGTTTTGCTGGATGTATGGTGGGGAGGGGATGCTCTTAATCTGGCTCCTATGAGTTGGAACATGGGAAATTCTAATTAGACATTAAGATAAACTTTTTCATTGCGATGATGATCAGATATTGAAACAGGTGCCCAGATGGAGGCATTTACATCCTTGGAGATGTTCAGAACTCAGCTGGAGAAGACTATGAGCAATTTGCTTTAGGAAGACATGCTTCATCAGGGTGTTGGACTAGATGACCTCCAGAGGTTCCTTCCAAACTATGTGATCCTATATGTCTGTAACCCCCTTAAGACTACAACTGAGCCAGAGCTAGGTCTGTTTGGACAGGGACTGTTCCTGATGGAGGATGCTGCCAGGAAGCCATTAGCCAGTGCTGGGTGACCTCCAGATTGGCTTTTCCTTTCCCTTTCTCCAGGCCTTACTGTAATGGATCTACCTAGTTTTTCTCCGTTTTGGTAACGTTTGTTTTACTTTATCTTGTTGTCAGTGCTCTAATTTTCCAAATCACTAGCTGCACATCTGTCAGAGAAGGCTCTGCATCTGAAGTACCTTATGATGTGTGTTGCTGGCATGTGTTTCTGTCTCTTAACTTTTTTGCCTTTTTTTCCCCCCCCAGATTTCCCTGTTTCTCCAGGTAAGCGATCCTGAAATCTAGTGTTACAGTAATGTTGATGGCAGCCATTTCACTGGGCTATTCATATTGACTTCCTGGTAAAACTTGGGGTGGAGTAGTAGAACTTAAAGCTTTCTTAAACTAACATACTCCTTACAGCTTCTTGTTTATGCACTTATGTGAGGTTATGCTCCCTGTTACTTCACTAGAAAACTGAGTTGTTTTAGGCTTGCAAGAGTATAGACAGATCGGCGTAGACCTTTCTGAAAAAAGTTAGAACTGTGAAGGATCTTTCCTTGAGATCAGAATTTAGATAAGTGTAGAAGACAACTCGGATGCTGGGAGCAGAATCTGAGCATTACATTGTCTTCAAAATTTCTTGACTAACCTTGTACCAAACCTCATTCCTTAGCTATAAAACCTGGTAGTCTACAGCACTGAAATCCTGAAGCTTGATTCCTATGGAGTGTGGATCAGTGAGATGCTGGAGCCACTCTTTCTTCCTTTCTTGTGGGTGTAGGACCCTAAGAACAACCGGATAGAGCAGTGGCTGAATGTGGTGCCCCAAGACGGCATTGCAGATCTGTCTTTCCAGCTAAGTGATGAGCCTCTGCTGGGGACGTACGTCATCAACGTAACCAACGTGAAAGCATACAGCAGCTTCTCCGTTGAGGAGGATGGTATGAGCACGTGGGGGATATGTCTGAGCTGCAGAAAGGACCTTGCACTCTTGATCTGGGAAGCTGGGTGTTTATTCCATGACAACCATCCTGGGAGCAAATGGGAAAAGTAATAGTATCTGTCATAGAAAAGAGTCTGAGCTGAGACTCAGGAGAGAGATGGCTTTGGGACCTTGGGTCAATGTGTGGAAGGAATGGTGTGCATGGCCCCAGACCTTTGACACAGCTGATTCCTGCAGATCTCTGCGTCAGACAAAACAAGGTCATTTAGAATGGGCTTTTCCAGAGAGTATAAAGTCCAGTGCCATCCCACTTCTCTTCCATCCCCTAATTAACTGTGCTGGGAGGCTAGTCTTCTCTCAGTGCAAATACCTGTCGGAAGTGCAGGGACATGGACATGTTTGGGTTTTAGTTTGGGAAGGAGCAATCAACCAGCGACTACACACAAATCTGTTAAAGAAACCAGGGAAATCTTCCCTTTCCCCCTCTCACCACCTTCCTTCTCCATTTCCTGACTCTCGTTCCACCATAGTCTATCTTCATGTTGATTCTCTGAAAAGGCAATCTTTAGCCAGTGTTTTCTACAGTCCTCTGTTTTTTCCTTCCAGTGCTGCCAAAATTTGAAGTGATCTTTGAGGCGCCAAATCAGGTTTATGTGCTAGATAAAACCTTCCCACTCTGGGTGTGTGGCAGGTGAGGATTCTGCTTGGAGGGATGGCCCTGTACTCATTTCTGGCCTGATGAGCACAAGATGGCTGGGTAACCAGGAGGAACTCAAGGGGGGGAATTTACTACACTTCAGTTACAGGAGGCCAGAATCTCCCAGGGCAGCTGTTTATACCCTGATCCAACACAAAACATTCCTGTAACTGTCCTTCTGGTACTCTAATGTCCCTTTTCTACAAACAGTCCACAAGTCTCTAGCCACAAAACCTGGGGGAAGAACGGACCCTTTGACAAACAGCCATTTGGGGGGCAGAACATGGCAGAGGTTTGGGGTTCATCTCCCTGGGCAATGAAGGGAAGCTTTTCCAGATTATGCTCTAGCGGAAACTAGAGAGAGGCAAAAAAGAATTGTCCCAGGTAGAGTCCAAGGCCAACGCTAGGGTTAACGGCCTCACGTGAAGGTGCTCTCTTAATGAAAGGCACTTTCTTAATCACCCATGCTTCTGCTCATAAGATGATGCGTGCCTTCAGCCGATCCTGGTGATGCTGATGTAAAGTGCAGAGCTCTGTGCTGAGTCAGCACCTACAACACTCTGGTTTCCTAGAATAGATTAATTTGGCACTAATTATATCGCAGAGCCCTTGATCACCTATCACTGCAGTACCCTAACCTGACCCTGCTTACTGGGTCAGGGCTCCTGGACTTGCTATATGGTTGCCAGTTGAATATCAATGAATAAGCGATCTCTGGGGCTATGCAGAGCAAGCCCTGTGTTCTCTCACTGTGTGTGACCGTCTCTTCCTTTCCCTGCTCCCCCAAACAGATACACCTATGGGAAGGGTGTCCAGGGGATGTTTCGCGTAAGCCTTTGTCAGAAGATAGCCCCATTCCTGCCCAGTGCTTCAAAACCTGATCTCTGTCAGGAATTCAACAACCAGGTGAGATGCTTAGCAGGAGCTGAGCAGTGTTCAGGGAGGTTTGGGCTCAGCCCCAGGGTAAGGCAAGGCTGCTGGAGGCTTTAGCTGAAATAATAGTGATGGTACTCCGTGGTTTTGGCTGCTTGGCCGGTGGTCTACTGGTGCTGCCGCTTACTAACTGTGCCTGGTGCCTGTGAGTCTGTGACTGGGTGTGCATCGTGTGCCTGCTCCGCGTCCTGGGCTGCTATGTCAAAAGACAAGCTCCTTGAGAGCAGGGACGTTGCGCTGCTGTTTCTGCACCGTTTGGGTAACTTCTGACATAAGCGCCTTGCTCAGACCTTGTTTCCTCTCTCTGTACTTTCAGACAGACGAGACGGGTTGCTTCTTCACAAATGTGAGCCTGTCGTCCTTCAGTCGAGACTTTCGGTACTATCGGGACAGCATAGATGCAGAGGCTTCGCTGGTAGAGGATGGCACAGGTAACTCATCTGGAAACATCTCTGATGGCTGGGAAGAGGCATGTGAAGATGCACTAATCTTGCCAAGAACACTTTCAGGCTAGCAAGGGCTTTCTGAGCCCACTGGGGCCTGCCATCTAACCTCACAGATAAAGTCAGAGCTGGCAGTTCCTGACAGCACGACATGCTCGCTCTGAGTACCTGCGGTCTCAGGTGGTGAAGCTTAGGGACCTCTCTAAGGGCTAGAAGTAAATGGGAGGAAGACTGGATACCCAGAGCCCTGGGCAGATCATCTCCCTGGTATGAAATGTGTGTGCAGCTGAACATGTGCATCAGTATTGCCAGTGGGTCACTCTGCAGGGAAATTCCTGAGGGGTGCTTGGCTTTCTTGCTCCCTCCGTTATGTTTCTGTTTCACTGCTTTCATTCAGAGATACACGTCAATGCTTCCCACAAATTACTCATCTCCAAGATTGGCGGGATGGCCTTGTTTGATGATGTGAATTCTTACTACCACGCTGGAGAAATGTACAGGGGGAAGGTAATTCCCAGTAATTACAGTCCTTTGGAGGGGAGAGCGTGAGCAATGCCTTCACAGCGACTGTTACCTAGCGTCTTCTCTGACCTCACCTCCAGCCAGGGGCTTGGGAGGGCATGAATGACTCCCAGAGACAAAACTCTTGATTTGTCAAAAGTGAGAATGACACCAAAGACTGCCATTTGCCAAACAAACCTTGAGTAGCAGCAGCTGTGGGGATCCATATGTGGGGTGCAAACCCGAACATTTGGAATTTCAGCAGCTGGGAGGCCTTTTGCTGTAAAGGGGTAGCGGGCGTGGGGGTGAATGAACACAGTAGTGCAAGTGATAATAGGAGGTGACCGGTAACAGTGTTGATAATATTGTTAGTGACTGAAAGAGTGACCTTGCTGTCTTTGGAAATGCTGCTTCTGACTTGGAGAAGCAGGAGATTCTCTCCACTGATTAGACTTTTCTGCACTTCTCCCGCTCATCACGATGTTCTCAGATTAAAGTCATTGACTACCAAGGCATGGCAGTGAAGCACAAAAAAGTCCTCCTCATAGTAAGCTGCGGTGAGCAGCGATTTAAGCAGAGGTACATCACTGGGGACTCTGGGACAGCTTCATTTAGCCTGAACACGACTGCTTGGAACAGCACCTCAGCCTCGCTGGAGGTAAGTGAGGAAGGGTCTGCCTTGTTGGCAGGAATACGCGTGCATCTCAGAGCTATTTAATGCCCCACGGACATCTCCCTTATTCCTTCTTGAAGGATGCTAATTCAAACCTGAAACACCTCAGCATGTTCTGGATCTTGACCCCCTCTGAGAGTTTATTCTCCAGATCCCAGTTGCTTTCCTCATGAACTCTCCACACAGAGACCTGTGCTGTGGTGTTGCTCAGACCCAATCTGAGCTTCTTACCAAGCCGCGCTAGAGAAATTAACAGTTTGCTTGGTTTTTTTTTTTGTCTCACCAGGCAAGTGTCCTGCATCAAGATTTGGATAGAGAGCCTGGGACAGTTGATTTGAGTTACCAGCGAGCCTCTCATGTCGTACGTCCATTCTACAGCACCAGCAGGAGTTTTCTCTCTATTGTCCGTGTGCCGGAAACAATGCCCTGTGGTGAAAAGCAGGCCATTCAGGTGGACTTCAGAATTTACCCGGAGGACGTGGAACATGGACCCAAGCGTGTCATTTTCTCCTACTTTGTGAGTTTCTGGGGAAGTGCTAGTGGGTGATGGCTCAAGGCGCAAGATCAGCATCTCCTACAGATTCAAACCTGATATTTGATAGATTTGGCTCAGCCTGGGGCAGGTAGCTTATCCTGGGCTGGATCCTGGTTTCGATCCTGGGGCTGCAGTAATAGCAAGAAAGGCAGGAACCTTTCTTTTGGGCTCTACACAGGTGCAGGGCAGGTGTTGGCCTTACCTGTCCTCCATCAAGTCTTGATCCCCTGAGCTCTCCCTGCGACCTGAGAGCGAGTAAATCTCATATCCCTCCCCTTACCCCCATTTCATTTCCAATTTCAGGGGTACTTTGATCTCAAAGTGATTGCATAGTGATCTCAAAGACTATGTGACTGACATTCCCTTCCCTTTCTGTATTCTTCCCTAGGTCACAGGGAAAGGAGGAATAGTCCATGCAGGTCAGAAGACTGTTTGGGTTGGGCTACCAAGAAGTAAGTGCACTCTTCTCTTTCATATCTAGCAAGCAGTCGGTGGCCTGTGGCATCCTGTCTTATTTGGATATGTGATATAAGCCTCTTTGCAATTTATAGCTGGCTCACTGCTTTTCTGTTGCATCAGAGCAGCGTGCCTTTCCAGCTTTCCTGTTTCCTTTACCCTCCTGCTTGATACTGAGATAACAATACTCAACGTTTCCCAGCCCATAGGCTCATCCTCTGTGGTCTTCATTTTCAAAGTCTCCTTTCGCTGCCCCTGCCAAGTGGCATGAAACTACAGCCTTACCCTCTCTCAAAACTCTCCTCCTTTAATTTGTAATCGTGTCTACAAATAATCTGAGTAGTTAGGATGCCACAGGTTATTGTTTTGATGGGTGTTGACTCGTTGTTGTCTACTTCTCCAGCTCTTTTTTTTTTAAACCTGAATTGTAGGTACTTTGGGACAAAGGTCACCTCTTTGTTAGTGATGGGATGGGAGATGTTTGGTGATGGGAGGCTTTGAAAGATATGAGACTCTCACTCTTTGTGGAGCTAAACTTGAACTCCAAAGAACTGTTTCATCTCCTTGAGGCCACGAACAGAACCAGGAGGAGTCTTTTGCTGGTCTTGAATACCAGATCCAGAGATGTGCTGATTGTTTCAGTGGTCTCCAGAAATCTCCTTGGTCCTGAAAGACATGAGGAAAGGAAACAGGCACATGCAGAATGGCAAAAGCCGTTCAGAGTCCATTTTCACTACCAAATCTACTTTTCTTCCCTCTCTCTTCCATCTAGTGCTGAGAGGCTTCTTCTCCATCCCTCTTACCTTCAGCTCGATCTATGCCCCAACTCCAAGACTTGTTGTTTATGTTATCTTCCCTAATGGAAAAATCATCGCTGATTCTGCCGTCTTCAGTATCTCCATGTGTTTCAGAAATAAGGTAGGGTTTGTGTCTGAGGCCATGACCAAGTTTGTGAGACTGTATGGGTCTACTGCAATGAAAGAAGAGACTGAGGAATACATAATATGTGTATAAGCTGTGTGTGGCTGATACTGTGTGGGATGCTGTCACGTGAACTGCAGTATATGAATGGGGAAGTGTGCTGTGATGGATGGAGCAAGTATGTGCTGAGCATTGTGGGGGCTGCTGCAATGTTTGGGAAAGGCAGAGAGCTGCTGTGTCTATCTCCATAGGCTTGCGTAGCTACTGCAACCCAGTAGGATCACAGCCCAGCACAGGTTGTTGGTGTGATTCCACCTAAAAGTGGCCGACAAGAAAGCTGGGGAGGGACTTTTGACAAGGGCATGTAGTGATAGGACAAGGGGCAATGGCTTTAAACTGGAAGAGGGAAGATTTAGATGAGATGTTAGGCAGAAATTCTTCACGGTGAGGGTGGTGAGGCAGTGGCAGAGGTTGCCCAGGGAAGCTGTGGCTGCCCCGTCCCTGGAATTGTTCAAGGCCAGGTTGGATGGGGCTGTGAGCAACCTGGTCTGATGGAAGGTGTCCCTCCCCATGGCAGGGGGTTGGAACTGGATGGTCTTTAAGGTCCCTTCCAACCAAAGCATTCTGTGATTCGTGGGGAGCTCAAGGCTGCTCTGCTGCTGCAGCAGATACTTAGGTTTGTTAGCATGCAGTGTTGGGAAGACAACTGAAAGTGGCCGATGGGAGAAGTGGATTTTCCTGGCCATCCGGAAAGGGCTGAGCACTTGTGATCATTGTGACATGCATGGTAATCCATGGGAATCTGCTTTCTTGACTGTGTCTTGCACTCCGAAGATGAACTTCTGAGGATTGGCATTATCCCTGCTCCACAGCTGTTTCTCTGCCACGGCCAGTCAGATGTAAGCAAGAACAGGAATTGCTTCAGGAAACTGAGACCAACCCCACAAAGACCCTGGAGATAAGGAAGAGGCTTATTTTTGATTTGGGGCTCCAAAAGGAGCAGAAAGACAGCTGTGTGAGATGTGTGATCATGGCTGGCTGGTTTGCTTGGGTAAAGAGAACGCTATGCTCTGACACAGGAATGTCTGCCACCTTTCCTGTTAGAACCTCAGGGTGATGGGTTTTTAAATACCTTTTAGGAGTCTTTGGGAGGTTCCTTCAGGTTTCCATGGAAGGCAAGTCCTTGGAAACTTGCCTATGTAGGTCCTTTCCCCGCTCAGGAAGCCGTAAGGTGGCCAGCAGCAGAAATATCACTCAGGTATTGCCTGTATTCTTCCCATCCAGGTGGAACTGGGCTTCTCAATGCCGGAGGCTCTTCCTGATTCAGAGGTTGATCTCCAGCTGCTGGCAGCTCCTGGGTCCACGTGTGCCGTCTGGGCTGTGGATCAAAGCGTCCTTTTGCTGAAGCCAGGAAAAGAGCTTAGCAGCTCCTCGGTGAGTAAACCTGCTCTGACTTCTTCCCTTCCCTTGTTCTGACATCAGAGGGAGGGAGACAGACAGACCATCGCATCTGTGCAGAGCTCATCTCCCAAGGAACTCAAAGCACTGCCCAGAGGGATCGGCAGCGCTCTCACTGCGGCACGGGTAAGGATTAGGGGGCACGCGTTAAGAAAAATGTTGAACATCACCCGGTGCACCAGTGGTAAATCAGCTTCTGTTGTTCTGGTGCTTAGGGACATGGTTTAGCGGTGGGCTTGGCCATGCTGCATTTATGGTTGGACTCGATGATCTTAAAGGTCCTTTCCAACCTAAACGATTCTGTGATTCTATGTTCAGTTCAGCGGATTGTGCTGGCTCTGTCAGAGGAGAGTTGGGGAAGAGTGACAGTGAGCCTGGGCTTTCTGGCATGTGTTCACGCACGGTAGCCAGGAGCAATTCCAACAGGCTTTGGATGTTTGACAGGAAGGGAATGCCAGATTTTACTTGTGCTGATTTTTTTTTTTTCACTTTTTCTTGCTTTCTCAGATCTATGGGCTGTTCCCATCTGTTTATAACTCCAGGTATCCTCGCCAAGTGTCGGAAGATGATCATTCATGCGGGTTCCCATATTCTGATGAGCCTGATGTGTTTACAGCATTCAGGGTAAAAATGGTTGATTTGGTGGGTTGGGATAATTGATGCACTGAGGGAAGTGTGGCGCCCTGACTTTACCAATATCCTAGGGATGCCGTTACAGACAGTACAGGGAACGGGTCCAGTTTAGATCCTTGTAACTCATTTGTTAGTTGAATAAGCGACTTGAAATGTTGACCAAGAAGAAATTGTTGTGTGGTTACTGCACTTTGATTGTGTGATTCAGGATACCAAGGATGATTGGTTACTTTAATTGGATTTCACATAGTTTGTTTAATCTCCACAGCATAAGCAATTGCACTCTGCAGGCTGAGAGGGCATGGTACCTACATGACCACGTGTTTGAAAAAGAACAAATTTGGCTGACTCAGGCCAGATGAATTAACTCAGAAGACCTCATTTTCTCCTTGCTGAGGATCTGAATAATTCCCTCTTAGAATGAAGCAAGAGAATATTTTGCCAAGCCAGAGGACAACCAAGTCTCTGCATGAGGGGGGAAGGAGGCAAAGGGTAGAGGGCAGAGAGGAGAGGACAAGCTTCTGGTGCATCCATTCTTTCTTTTTCATGCAGGACATGGGGTTGAAAGTTATGTCCAACACCAATATCAGGAAACCCAGAATGTGTCCAACCACTCCATCGACAACTATGCTGCAGGAAACAGGAATGTTGCCTTCCAAGCCCACGCTGATGTTTGCCCAGCCCCATAAAGCATATAACAGTAAGCATCTGCTGACTGTTTCTTCTTACATGGGATGCTTCGTCTTTCAGGTGAAAGCAGTCCTGGGTTTGAGCTAAGAGGCAGTGCTTGCTGTAATTGCAAAGGGAGGAGAAGGAGCGTTCCCTGACCCTAAAACTGTTGTGTTAGTGTGAGGCTGCCGGGGGCTCATGGCATCCAGTTCTGAAATGTTAGTGGGCTGTCTGAATCCCAGGGCTTATCTCTGAGGTGAGGGAATGGATGCCCTTCCCGTGGTGCCTACAAAGGCAAGTAAGGCCTGAAGCACCTCTCTCATTTGAAATGAGGCAAGAGATTTTAAAATTTGGCGTAGCACCTTCTGTTCCAGTGCTGTGCTTCCCAAGAGCTGACTGGATGACCTGTAGCCTGGGCTGGGCTGGAGCTCCTGTGCTCTAAACCAGGGTCTGAGGACCCTATGGTGACTGGGTCTTTGTTGTTTCCCGCAGAGCATCTGACAACATCTACCTATCGGCCCACTATGTTTTCACCAGTTTCTTCAGCTGAAGAGAAAATGCACAAGCATTTCCCCAAAACCTGGATATGGGATTTGTATTCTGTAGGGTGAGTAAACTGAGCAGGGGGGGGGTCTGGGCTGGGTGGCTTAGTGTGACTGGAAGTGGCAGCAGATACAACTGAGTTTAGATCATAAGGTACTGAGGAAGATGCCAAAGGACATATGACATGGGGCTCATACCTGTCAGGCCGTTTATCACCGGAGCCGATGTGTGCATTGAATGCATTTTCGTCTACTAGATGTTCATACAGAAGTATTGTCCATCCATGGGAGGTAGTTGACATGGGAAGACAGGAAAGTGGATGCGGTGCAGCAAAATAGCTTGGTTTACTGCCTGCGCTCTGCTTGTGGTAGCCCTGTGAGGCAGGATTTCCCAATCTGTGCTCCCAGGATGTATCCCGGGATGCAGGGGAGGGTGATCTCCACCGAAGTCCAACACAGGACTGGGAGTTGTGCTCTGAGAGAAAGGCTCAGTGAGTACACAGGGTTTGCTGAGGGAGCTTTTGGAGATCTTTCATCTCTGGCTTTAAGAATTTCTTGTCTGGTGTCTGGAGACTGGAGTCTGCTGGGGCCAGATGCCCCCACATCTTCCCTCTCCCACCTCCACTGCCCTTCCAGCTACATCCATCTCTTCACCCCTAGCAGCAGATATCTCCTATGTGATTTGTCCACCAGCCTAAGATGAGCAACCAAAGGTTGTTGTATGTTGTATGTGTTGCTTTCCTGTATATACCTGGCAAAAGTGAATGTCTCCAGTTATGGAGTCAAATAATATCGCTAACTTTAGGTAGGGCTGGTTTTGTGTCTGCTGTGGTTGCAGCCACAGAACAACCTGCTGCTCTCAGACGTTGGGATGTGGGCACAAGGCAAGTCTCTGCCCTGTCTTCATGTTGGACTTTAAGCTGCCAGTGTCTCACAGGAAGGTGAATGGCTGGATCTGTCTCTTCTGCCAAGTTCTACTGATGTTGAGGCAGTCCTGTTGCTCTTCTGGTGTCTGGATCTCCATCCCTAAGCCAAGAAGCATAAAACTAGTGACATCTGCAAACCATTTTTAGCTGTGCAAAGGGCAAGCACCGTCTGAGAAAAGCACTGAGTGCGATTGATGGCATCTTGCAGCCATGTAACCTATTGTCAAAAATGTTCTGTTGATGGAAGCATCTGAGGCAGGGGTCCCTGCTTCTACAAGGACCTACTTGTAACCCTACAAGGACTACAAGTTCAGCAGAGCTTAGGGGTTAGACTGAGGTTAGGGGACGGGGTGCACTGGAGAGAAGGGCCCAGATCAGGTCACCTTGTGCTGCATGCAGCAAGATTCAGTAAAATGCTTCTGTTGCTGTCTACTTCTCCTCAGTCCCAGCGGGAGCAAGAACGTGACTCTCACTGTACCTAACACCATCACAGAATGGAAAGCAGGGATGTTCTGCACAGGACCTAATGGCTTTGGACTTGCTCCAACCTCCAGTCTGCTTGTTTTCAAGCCCTTTCTTGTGGACCTCACACTGCCATCTTCTGTGATCCAGGGTGAGACCTTCATCTTGAAGGCCACAGTCTTCAACTACCTGCAGAGATGCATGAAGGTGGGTGAGCCCTGACAGGCTCTGCAAGAAAAGCAGGGTATGGGTGGGTAGGAGATGGCTGAAATCTATGGCCTGTGATGTTTCTCTTGTTACCACCTGCCATCCTTGCTGCGCCTTCAGATCCAAGTGACCCTGGAGGAGTTTGCACACTTCCAGCTGAAGCCATGCAAAGGCTGTGTCTACAGCAGCTGCTTATGTGCCGGTGAAGCCAAGACCTTTCAGTGGAGTGTCACAGCTGAGCAACTGGGTGAGAAGAGGTGGTGGAATTGGGACCAATTGGTGAGGCTAAGGTGGGGATGTTTTGTAAGAACTGACATGGAGTGAGGAGTTGTTTGCCCTGTTCACCAAAGAGTACTCGTTTGCCTTCCTCCTAAGGTCATGATTACTCGTGAGTCTATGCTAGGAGGTACAGAACCATATAGGACTCTCATCCAATTTTTTGTTGTCGACAGGTGACTTCTATTGTATTAATGGGAACTGCTTCCTCAGAAGATATTTTATGCACCTGAATGTGTGTTATTTTCAGGGTTCATGAACATCACCCTCAGCACAGAGGCTGTGGCCACCGAAGAGCTCTGTGGCGAAGAGATACCGTTTGTCCCAAACCAAGGACAGAAAGACACGATCATCAAAATCCTTCTAGTCCGGGTCAGACAAGCTGTTCTGTTACCTAGACCTACAAGTGGGCTTTGTGCAATTCCCAGATTTTGTGTGGGTTAATTTTGGGAGTTACCCTTTGCTATTCAAGGTGTATAATCAGAATCTGAGGGGCTGAGCTGGGCCCAACCATGAGGGCTGGTGGATGTGGAAGGTAGAGGGGTATCCTCCACTTCATACCATGGAAAACTTTAAATATGTACACTCTTTTATGTCTTCGTTTCTGAGCTCCCTACTGAATGTTACAGCATCGGTTTCACAGACTTTCAGAAGTTATAATATTCTGAAAATATGTGCTCTTTTCTTATCTGAAATGAAAATGACTGACAATAATTTACATTTTTATGTGATAATGATGTTACTCCAGCTGACTCTCCAGCCTAAACTAGGATTTTGTCCATATCTATTTCTAATCCACTTGTAATCCTGTTTCTCTCCTGTGTGCTCATTATAATGCTACTTTTATGTGCTCCAACAGCCAGAGGGAGTGTTGGTAGAAAAGGCTCACAGCTCCATCCTGTGTCCCAAAAAAGGTAGAGAGATTGTTTTCATCTTTCACCCTGCACATACCCCCCTTCCTGCCAAACCACCTCCTGGCTCTTTCCACTTGTTGAAATATTTTCTCTGTCAACACGTCCAAGATACAGAAGCATTCTCTAATTGTGGTGCCAGCTAGAGCTTCCCATGGGTAAGGATGTGGGGATGTTGTTGTTTAGCATCAACATCCCTGACGCTGATGGGACGGCTTCAGGCCTTTTTCACCTGTGGTCATAAAACCAGACTATTGAACATGGCAAGGCTGGAGGACATGACTTAGGATTGCTGTTCCTGTCTTGAATTTTATGGTGTATGAGGGGGCCGTTAGCAGATTTTGAGAGCATAAGGTGCATTGAGAAGACATACCTGCAACTGAAATCTGAAACAAGATGGAGTAACTTATGTAGAAAAGAGCAGGTGGCTTTGACCATAGAGGGTTTCCAGGAGAAAATCCTCTCAACCTCTTTAGAAGGAAGACTGTTAGGATAGCGCGGTCACCATGAGGCGGATGGAAGAAGTTGAGGGTGGAATGGGACAGGGGTTTTGAGGTGATCTGCAACCTCTGTGACGGGAAAATGAGATATTAGCACAGAACAATCTTGAACAGTTTTTGTGGATTTTGAAGGCTGTTTCCATCATAATCTCTTTCTTTTTGTCCTCCCCACCCACTGATGTCAGGGAATCCAGCACAGGAGTCTGTGTCCCTGATGTTGCCTCTAAACGTGGTTGAAGGTTCAGTCAGAGCGACCATCTCAGTCACCGGTAAGGAATTCAGCTATGATGGTACCTTTGCCCATCCCATATCTCTGAGTTTAACCCTAGGAAAGCCCAAACCCAGAACCACCCCCACGCTTTCTGAGGTTTCCAAGGCTCCACTGCCTTGTTCTTCCCCTGTGTGTGGCTACGTTTCCTAATTCCCGATAACCTAAAACACTCAGCAAGGGAGAGAATGTTCTGTTTATGGTCTTCCTCTGCCAGGATGGGAATGTGTACAGTCCATATGGAGAGGGCACAGGGAACTGATAAGCTGGCTGGACAGAGGTGCCCTCACACTGCTGTGCTGGGGCTGTCTTGCCTGGTGCACTGCTGGGAACGGGTCGCAGGTAGGAGGAGGTGAATCTCCAAGCCCCCTGCCCAGGAGGTGGTCAGGATGCTTATGCTCTGTTCCAGGTGACCTCATGGGGACGGCACTGCAGAACCTGGACCATCTGGTGCAGATGCCCCACGGCTGTGGGGAGCAGAACATGGTGCTCTTTGCCCCCATCGTCTATGTGCTGCAGTACCTGGAGAAGACGAGGCAGCTGACCCCTGAGATCAAGGAGAGGGCAACAGGATTCCTGCGCAATGGCAAGTACAACCGACCCCCCTTGCTCCTCTGCCTTCCCCTGTGTGCTAACAGTCCCGAGTGCCTGCTTCCCTTCTACCCAGAGCACTCAACCACCCAATTCCGTTCGCAGTGATTTTGTTGCAAATACCATTCTGAGCGTTAATGTCCTATCCTGCTTCCCAGGGTACCAGATACAACTGCAGTATCAGCACCCTGATGGTTCCTACAGTGAATTTGGTACCAAGGATGAGTACGGTAATACTTGGTAAGCCCTGGGCTCTCTCTCTGCTGTCTACCTGCTGTCTGAGAGCCTGAAGATGGGCAGCTTTCTGCTTCCAGCATTGAATTCTTTCAGTCCTATTGGACCCAAAGTGTTCCAGATGCTTTGTGGGTTAGGGCACTCCAGGGGTATGCAGCTGTCCTTGGGATGAACTGTTCTTGAACGAGCAAATTAGGAATAGCGCAACAATAGGTGAGGAGAGACCTGTCAGTTTCAAACTCCCATTTTTTTCTTTCTCCTCAACTTCTGCTTAGATTCTTTCTTTCCACTCATTCTTCCCTCACTCTCATTCACTCCATCTCTTTCTGCTTCTCACTTCCCTCTCTCATGCCTTTTTTCCTGTTCTCTCCCTGACCAGGCTGACTGCATTTGTGGTTAAATGCTTTGTCCAAGCCAAGCCCTACATTTTCCTGGACAACAGGACCATCCAAGCTGCTCTCACCTGGCTGGAGTTCCACCAGCTTCCCAACGGTTGCTTCAGAAACGTGGGCCAACTTTTCCACACAGCCATGAAGGTAGGAGCCAGAGCACCTTGACGGACAACTAAAAGCAGTTCTTGCCAAGTGTACTGGTAATTGTTTAGTTCACTTTCCTGTGTCATTCTGCTTTCTTGCGTGGGAGTAATCCAGGGACCTTTGCTGAAAAGCTTCAGGTCTTTATGTATTAACTTTCCCAGCTTTTGGGATGTTTATGCTTTTTGCAGGGAGGTGTGGATGGGGAAGTCCCCTTGGCCGCCTACATCACTGCTGCATACTTGGAGGCAGGAGAGACACCAGAGGTAAACATTGGGATTCTTTGCCGTGCTCTTGCCTTAAGATCTGAATCCTGAAGAGCTTAGTGGTGTCACTAAGGCAGGCAACAGAGCATCTTGGAGAGGCTTGTGGACAAAGTAGTAGGGTGGGAGAGGAAGAACTTACCAATTCTGAGGAAAAAGCCTCAACTATCCCTTGAGGAGGACATCCCTGGCAGGGGAGAAGGTGAGGTTAGACTACTGGGAGCCTTTGGAGTTCATGGGTAAATACTATGCCCATTTCCCAGGCTTTGGCTGCTCATTCCT